AAATACTCTCTGTGCCTGGTTGAACACTGTTTGCATATATATTCCTAAAATAATAAATATACATGTCATTTTATAAAATAAAGTTTGTATAAATAGTCATACACACGTATATGGGTATTACTAAATAATACTTGTATTTATGAAGTTATGCAGGAAAGAAAATGATAAAGCTTGTATATTTTTTATAACTCTATATATACAACACAGGGGCGTGATATTTAATCTTGTTATTCAATCAATTACTTATATATATTTTTTTATTTGCATCATGTATATATGTATCATGTATACTCTTTATAAAACTAAAATAAAAGAAAAAGTTCTATTCTTATATCAATTACATTTTTTTTTTTTTTGTAACTTGTTACCTTTTTTTGAAATGATGCTTTACTGAGGGTAGGAATGCCCTTTACCGTCAGGCTTCAAACAGTCATTTTCAGCTACCGTTAGAGTCAAATTGGTTAAAATTTTATCATGATTCGTCAAAATATCTTTATCTGCAATTGGTTGCACCTGTCCTAAGTCAGGAATCTGATGTTCAGTAGTTGTCGTTTATTGATGTGGTTCATAAGTGTTTCTCGTTTCTCATTTTTTTTTTTAAATAGATTTGACCGTTGGTTTTCCAGTTTGAATGGTTTTACACTAGTAATTTTTGGGGCCCTTTATAGCTTGCTGTTCGGTGTGAGCCAAGGCTGTGTGTTGAAACCATACTTTGACCTATAATGGTTTACTTTTTATAAATTTTGACTTGGATGGAGAGTTGTCTCATTGGCACTCATACCACATCTTCTTATATCTATTATCATGATACGTCAGACATTTCAAATAATTAACCGTTACCGTTATTTTTGGAAAGAATTTAACATGATTCGTCAAAATCAGTCGATTATTTTATCGTCATAAAGAAAGTGCACATTTTATCGTCATGCACCGAATATTACCGTTAACATCATTTGGCAAGATTTTTTACCGTTATTCGTCATGAAGGTACCCCCATTACAACCCTCTTTTCTGTACCACTGTCATAAATGTGTGCACATGCCCTATGCTGATTTTCCATTTGTTTACTTTTGAAAAAGTGTATTATAAATTGCCTTCATTTATTTAATGTATTGGAAAAACTTGCAATAATTCCAAAGGAAGGGGAGGGGGGAATATGAGACATCTCTGCTAAGAGACAACTCTGACCAACTAATAAGTCAACTTGGACCAACTGTAATATCAAACCAGACAAAGTTTTAAAAGAAAATAAAGTTTGACATGTAACTGCTATTGAGAAGGTAATTTCCATGCTGCAATGTCCATTTGTTACAATCTTATGTGATTATTCATAAAAATATGTACCAATATTTGATAACTCATATGATATTCATGAATGTGTGGCTGTTGTGAATCTTATTTACCATGGTACTGACCCGTCATGAAAATAACCAAAAATAAAAACTTTCAAGAATTTGATCCACCAAAACAAAGTGTATTTTTACTGACAGTGTACTTCTCTGTATGCAGATAATATCATTTTTTTTCCGTTGGTCAGTTGATGTTTCTAAATATGGCACAAAGTAGGAGAAATGGGTTGGAAAAATTCTTAAGCTCATTTTCTGTTAGAAATGGAATCAAAATCATTATTCCTCTTGATAACAGATACTTAAAATATACAAAAAATACACTGTACCAGTGGCAAACCCTTTTTTTTAAATGTGTGATGAGAGGCTGGTCCTGAATACTTCATACACATGATTTATGTGGTATAAAACTTCAAAAAGTAACAATGAGGGGAGGAAAAAAATTATAAATTAAAAAATTGACAAAAAAAATTGAAAAGGTATATAAGAAGTACCGGTATTACATATATATATATGGATTATATTAGTAAAAATGTGACACACATGAGCAATGCAATTTGTGATATAATAATTATTGTATTCGTAAAACTTTTTGAAAAATTGTTAAATCAAGACCTTTGGCCTGGGAGATGTTTGGTTCACTTTGGCTTTTCGCCAGACACTGTAGTCCACTTAAATGCAAATGCGTGTTCTTATTAAAATTTGAAATAGGTTTTATGATTGTGCAATCGTCATAATTTGCAGATTTCCCACAAGAAATATCAGTTAAATGTTAGAAGTCGCATTTCACAGTCTCATTCTCCATTACAGACAACTTCTGATAACTTTCTGTTTTCAATGAGGAGAGTGTAAATAAGGGGATTTAACTCATAGATCTCCTTGGACTGGTTTTTTTTTTTACCTATTTAAGGAAGTTTTTGACAATTAGACATAAAATAAATGACAAAATATGTATAAAATGTATCATATCAAAATTTTATGTGATTCAGGTATTGAGTTAAGTAATTTTTTAGGGTTAACAGGTTTTAATTAGAATTAGAATATTTCAGAAATTTATCAAAATCTAGCAAAGTGAGATGTAAAATTCAATATCTTGCAATTATTTGCCAAAATTGGATTTTTGATATTTTTGACAATATCCATTGGTCTATTCATTGATGCTTATTTCATGAAAAAATAAGTGCCACTTTAGGAGATTGATGGGCTCAAACTTCTTTCAAATTTCAATGTGGCAAACACAGCCTTCTTTAATACCCCTAATGAATAATCATTTGGGACAAATCATTCCAGGGGCCTCGGTGGCCGAGTGGTCTAAGTAGTTACTACTGTAATCACTAGCCAGTCAACACTGAGGTTGTGAGTTCGAATCCCGCTCGTGCGGGTGCACTCGACTCCAATCTTAATTGACTAGGATTGTCAGTTTTCCTATCAGAGGTCGGTGGTTTTCTCCGGGCACTCCGGCTTCCTCCACCAATAAAAACTGGCCGCCACGAAATAGCCCAAAAGCGGTGCTTAAAAGTGGCATTAAAACACCAAAAATCAAAAATCAAAAATCAAATCATTCCTGGCATGGTTTATTTTTGTCTATCTATAAAAAAGAAGATGTGGTATGATTGCCAATGAGACAACTCTCCACAACAGACAAATGACACAGAGTTTAACAACTATAGGTCACCGTACGGCCTTCAACAATGAGCAAAGCACATACCGCACAGTCAGCTATAAAGGTCAATCTAGGTTATTTTTAGCAAATATATGTTTAAATTGCCAAAATGTTAAAAATTGGAATTTTTGGAGTTGCAACTTACAAATTTTTTCACTAGCATTTTAGTGATTTTCAGGCATTTATGCAAATGAATCTGTTTCTAAGAATAGAAATGATGGAACAAAGTCTAAGATATATAAGTTCCAACATGCCATTTGGACAATATTTTGGATTTTGCATGGTTTTCTGGCAGACTAGCTCTTAGCATTGGCACCTTTTTTCTTTTATAAAATGCGTGACATTTTTTCAATGCACCCCTCTAGTTTATTATATACAGGCGTATGAAGGAAATGTAGTCCTGCAGAGTTCTCGAAAACTGGTGGTCCGAAGGTTTTACCCACCACCATATTCAAAGGACTGATTCTATTTTATTGTTTTGCAATAGAACATACATGTACATGTAATATATAGTGAGGATCAGCAAATTTTCATCAAGGACTCTATAATGAAAACCAAACGTAATATGTTGATATTTATATTTTCATGCAGGCAACATTGATTTATTCAAACATTTCTTAGATTTCTGACGTTATTCCGATGACTTTTGTATGTGATCATGTATGTTGAACAAAAAATATTGGACACTGTGACTCTGAAAAGAAACTATCTCTGAACTAAAGATATTTGTAAACAATTTTTATTGTAATGAGCATGGTCTTGACTAGAATAAAAACTAAATATAAATTATGAGTTATGCAGAACCAAATTGGTTTCATTTGGTGGGTCATCTTTTCCGCCGAAGGAATGGACAATTTTCCCACTTGCAGCCTGTTATCCCCATAATATATATATATAATATATAATATATCCCCATCGTTCATCAACAACATCAAACTGGAAGTACATTCTTTCATGGATATCGCTGTGTAGAACCAACTTAGTATTGTATCCCTAGTACAATACATAATTTTACGTATGTTTTACCATTGTAACACTGAATTTTAAAAGTTGGTTCTATAATATCATTAAAACTATATGATGGTTCACTTGGCATTCAAAAGCCACAATAAATCTAAAATTAAAACTATATGGTGGTTCACTCTGCATTAAAAGCCACAATAAATCCATGGTTTAAATATATGTTAAAAGTTTAAAATTTGTATCCCCCTTATTTTACTGGTATGACACATATGTACAACTAGAATGTACAATTTGTTTCAGAATTTTTTGTTTACCTGGAGTACATATGTATATGGGAAAATTGTGAAGGCAATTAATTAAGGATTTGTATAATGAGACTTTGAAAAAGGGTAGGTACATGTAACTAAACATGCTATAGAAAAACCATAAGCACACGTTTTCTATATTGACCTATTGAAAGAAAAGGAAAAAATATGGCAAAAAAGTTGTAAACAGTCCTGTTTAAACTAACTTAATTCTTGATATTTTAATGTGGCTCTTTATTCCAGGCTTGTGACTGGCAAGTTGTACTGTATTCATAATAATAAGCACCTTGGTTTTATTTAGAAATTAAAAATGGGGTATCTTATATCAATGAAAATGATAAAAGACGTAAATATTGGTCTGCTCTAGATGATGATTGTAAAGATTATTTTTAAAAAAGATTTCCTGCATAATGAGGTTATATTATTTAATCACAAAATTTGTAGGCAAATCTAAGAGTACTATCACGATTGTGGGTGTTATGGTGCATGAAAATTGGTGAATACAGTATTACTTGGCTGCATTACCCACCTCCCTCCTCAATTTTTTTTCTTTTCTTTTTCTTTCATTTTTTTTTTAATTTTCTTTTCTTTTTTCTCTCTTTTCTTTTCTTTAATTTTCTTTCTCTCTTCTTTTCATTTTTTTTAATTTTCTTTCTTTTTTTTTTTTTTTTTTTTTTCTTTTCATTTTGTTTTCCTTTTTTTTTCTTTCCTTTTTTCTATTCATTACATTTATGTACACAAAATAATGCATGTGCTTGAAACTTTTTTCTTTCTTATATAAATATATATATATATATACATGTATGTACAGTCTTAAACTTGTAGAAGATTTTGAACAATTGTTTTTAGAATCCCAATCTTTCAGTAGTTGTTTTGTTTGTTGATGCAGTGCATTTTTCGTCTTCATTTGGTTATATTTTCCAAGCAGTTTAAATCCAATAATCATCATTGCTCTCTCATACTGTTCAGTAAAAGACATGTTTCCCGGATTTTCCGTTGCAAGTCAAACTTTTAACTTCTTCCGGTTCCTAGAATTGTATCAACCAGTGTTGTTATTTTTCTGGAAAAAATGATTTATTGATTTATAACAATAAAGAAGACTAATGATTTGTATATCAAACATAAGCTTTTATTTTATATATTGTATTGTTCAATGTTGATCATCTGCATATGGAATCATTTATATTGGGATATTACGACCAAAAGGCTAGTTTAGCTAGTGCATTCTCAGATAGTAGCCTGGAAACTCCAGACCAATTTAACAAAAAAAATGTTTTGGAGCAATACTTCATTCCAAACCCAATTCACATGCAGCTGTGCTTTTGTGTACATGTACTTTTATATAAGAGCACACATGGGCTCTCAACTAGGATGTAATGGGGCATGCATGTATTTTCTTGCAATCTCTTGAATAAACTGTTATCACAGAGATATGTCTCGCCTTTTTGTAATTTTGATAATGCAAATGTTGAAATTAAAATAGCAATACTTTAACATGTAAGTTGTGCAAATATTCAAAGTCATTAAACCATGACTGAAGGTACATGGCTAAAAAATCTCCATGGAAATGAGATGTGCCAATGCTAATAGTAATACAACTGCATACCAAATACCATTGACTTATTATAAGTCGTTCCCTTTAAACAAACCTAAACAAACATTAACGTGTAAACTATGTAAAAGTTTCAAAGTCAATGAACCATGATCAGGGGTGGGGCTATATAATCTCCATGGAAACGATACTTGCAAATGCCAATAAATTTGCATACCAAATATCATTGACTTAACATTAGCAGTTCATCTTAAACTGATCTAATCACAAACTAATACATGTAAACTAAGCAAAAGTTTCAAAGTAAATAGACCATGACTGAGGGGGCGGTGCCAAATATTCTCCATGGAAATGAGATGTGCTAATGCTTATACAACTGAACACCAACTAACATTGGCCTACCACTAATGGTTCCCCTTGAACTAACCTAATCACAAACTAATACATGTTAACTTAGCAAAATTTTCAAAGTCTATAGACCATGACAAAGGGGGCGGAGCCAAATAATCTCCATGGAAATGAGATATGCCAATGCTTATACAACTGCATACCAAATATCATTGACCTACCACTAGTGGTTCCCAATAAATTGACCTAATCACCTAATCACAAACTAATACATGTAAACTATGAAAAGTTTCAAAGTCATTAGACCTTGACTGAGGGGGCGAGGCCAAATAATCTCCATGGTAATGAGATGTGCCAATGCTAAAACAACTGCATACCAAATATCATTGACCTACCACTAGTGGTTCACCATGAACTAGACCTTATTACAAACTAATACATTGTTGACGCCACGGCCACCGCCAACGCCAGAAACAGCATACCTATGTTTCGCTTTTTTACTCCGTCAAGGCGAGACAAAAATACATAAACATTTAGAATTAGTAAAAATTGGGGGTACTTTTATTGTGGTTTAAAGTATCCCCATCTTTCCTTAAAATACATTAAGGGAACAACCATTTAACTTCAAGGGGGGGGGGTTATGGTTTTTGCCTAAAAAAATATTCTGATCCTCAATTTGATGAAAAAAAATATTGTGGTCAAGCAGATGACAAAAAAAAAATATTCTGAATCCAAATTTTCCCCATACCTTAACGTGTTAAATTTTGACAAAAATTATTTGATTGATAGCGTCAAAATACTAAAAAAACAAGAAGACAGCAATATTCAAACAGGAAACCAATAAGTCGAGTAATGTTTTGGTATTTAATACTGGGTACTACAGAGCGATACTTGAATACTCGATGACATCCCTACTATGTACAGATATATATTTACCTGTTTGTGTACATATGTTTATTGTGGATTCAGTTTCTTCAGGTTCCTGACAATCTTTCCAGCCAAAAGGATCCAAATTTTCATCTGCATAATAAAAAAAAAAACTTAGGCCTAATAAAAATATATGCATAGTTCCAGTTACATCCTCCAAAAAAATTGGGTCTGTAGGTCAACTTTGTTTTTTTTTTTTTTTTGAATGTCAAATCTGGCAAAAAATCTTGTGTTCACTGAGTCTGATTCTGGTAATGTACACGCCCCTCCTGGAAGTTTGCCATTTTCGATGTGTTTGGTTGTAAAATAAAAAGACATGTTACAATTTTGTTGCATTCTGTTAAGAAATTGTTGCATTTTTAGCCGTAGTGGATACTTTTATTGGAAATTCATATGACAGAAGTCTGTGAATTTAATTTTAGAAATTCACATTCCATAAAATGGGATCGTTCAAAATTTATTTAACAGAATTAAAAAAAAAAGTACTAGGGTCGGTCTGGTAACCAGAACCACATATATATTTTTATTTTGCCTTAATTCTAACGGCAATCATGGCAATTGATCATATCTTAATTCAGGTAGGTTTTGAAAATTAGTATCAAAATGAAGGCAATAGTATGTGATTTAAAAAGAATTTTTGTTTCTGTTTGTTGTTTACATATAGTTTATTTTTTATGCCAGCACCAAAGTGGAGGGGGCATTAAGTGTTACCCTTGTACGTCTGTATGTACGTCCCAAAAGTGGGTATCGTTCTTAACTTTAGTTTGCCTCAACCAACTGTTTTGAAACTTATACACAATTACCACAAAACTCTGATCAGCTTTGAATTTAAGTGGCATCACTTTTACTGTTCTAAAGTTATGCCCCTTTACAAATGGAAAAATTGCTGAATTTTTCATTTCTGTCTTTGAACTTAAGTGTGCCTCAACCAAATGTTAGTAGACTTATCCCAATGCTTATTACCGCAAAACTCAGATCAATTTCTAATTTGGGTGACATCACTTTTACTGTTTGTCCCTTTATAATGTTTATGCAACCAGGGGCATCATCTTCTCCATTTATTTATTTTATTGCAAATTAGAACTATGAAAAAATAACAAGGATTTTAAGATTTTCAAACAATATGTAATAAAATTATGAAAAGATAAGTAGGGGTAAAAGCATGCAAAATTGTAACGGCACTTCATGGATAAAACGAGAGGATTCTGATTATCTGACAAAAAGTTAAAAAAAAAAAAAAAAAAAGAGCGAACATACTTTATTGATGTGTTTACGACACTTGGACAAAGACCATAACCATATATCCCCTGTGGTGCAAGGTAGACAAAAAGAACTTCTGACTAAACTCTTTAAACTTTTAAGCCTAATGCACATTACATTCCTATCAATTTTTATTTTAAGATGAAAATAAATTTGTTTTTAACAGAGGAATTATATACTTACTAATATATAGCCGTATCAGACCACCAAGTTTTACTCTCCATCCATGAAAACAGTCACTGCAATAACCTAAAAAAGGAATTAAAATTAACAAATTATATATTTTACAAAAGTGTTAAATTGTTCGACAAAAAATTAGTTTTCCAACTTAAGATTAAGCATAGCATTAAAACCAGTTTAATATCTATAAAAGCCGGAAATACAAAACATGTTTTGATTTTGTTTCAACATTTTTTTTTTCAATAATCTATGAGTTATCTCCCATTGAATGACACATTCTCGCTGTTTGTTGTACTAGTCTCCCCCCTGAAGATGAAATCTATCTCAGAATTTACTTTTCAAATGTTATAACATTTTATTCATGTTACTAGAAACCATATACATGTATCAAACTAATGAAATAACTCTTTCTTGGTAGTTTGAATGTGGAAAATAAAAAATAAATGTTTGATCTGTAAAACTTTAACCTTAAAATTATCTTAGTGAAAACTGTGAAAAAAAGTATATATTTTATTACATCTGTTGCAATGAAGTACTGTGATTTCCAAGTTAATTAAAATTGATGATAATTTCACTTCTCTGATTTTATATGCATGTAAAACAATTTAAACAAGAATACTAAGTATACTTTCTTATTAAAATATATTTCATTCGAGTAAAAATTTGAAAAAGAAATTTTGGACTAATTTGTAATAAATTTTCAAACTGTTTCTCCAGGGAAAACTGATTTTATTACCTTACAACTATTAACAGTTTAAGTACAATTGTAATGACAAAATACCTACATCATCATCTAGGCATCAACAATTATATCATCTCCATGTCTAGGACTGTACTTTCTTCTTCTCTCTGGTCTCCCATCTATCTGTAATACATATTCAAATTATTTTAATATCTATCAGACAACAATTAATAAATAAAAAAAATATATACTTACTTTCCGATGCATATGTTACCTGTCCTGACGTAAATATCCTGGGGCTGGTATCTGAAACAAAAACAAAATAAGCAGTCTTCACGCTGAACCACAGGCCCAGCAGCCCAGACTTGTAAAATTGCTCTCGGGCCTGTAAAAATCAACTCTACAGGCCAACAGAATCCAACTAAAATTCTCCAAAAATTGAGTTCCGGGCCTGTAGATTTAAAAGTTCATTGTGAAGACTGAATAAGTTCAAAAATATTGTTACCAAATATAAAACTTAAAAAATTTGCTACCCTAATTTTTTTTTTCTTTCAAAATATCTATAAAGAAAAACTGGCATTAATGGCAGCAGCCATCATCATTGCTCAATTGCTCTTTTTGACTATATATCATTAACTTATTTTCATTTTAAATCTATATTTCAATCAGTAATGAAGACGGTTTAATGATATAATCATTATTTCCGAAATTAATGTGCGTGTCAAATTATCAGAAGTTGGCGGCTAACCAAAACAATCTGATGTATACATTTTGAACAGAAATGATTAAAATTCAACTGAATTTCAAACAATCTAAATCAAGTCATATTTTCCAAATTACTTTCAAAAAATCGACTAAATATGTAGATATCCAAATTGACAATTGGAAACTTTACTTTCATTCAGATGAGACTATTAGAGAAAGGGTTTCCAAATTTTCAATGTTAAGAGAATATTTGCTGTTATAATTAATTCAGAAATTAATGTGATGCATGTTTTAATTCAAATCCTAAATTGGAGTACAAATAAAAAAGAAGATGTGGTATGATTGGCAATGAGACAACTCTCTACAAGAGACCAAATGACACAGAAATTAACAACTATAGGTCACCGTACGGCCTTCAACAATGAGCAAAGCCCATACTGCACAGTCAGCTATTAAAGGCCCCGAAATGACAATGTAAAACAATTCAAACGAGAATACTTAGTATACTTTCTTATTAAAATATATTTCATTCGAGTATAAATTTGAAAAAGAAATTTTGTACTAATTTGTAATAAATTTTCAAGCTGTTTCTCCAGGGAAAACTGATTTTATTACCTTACAACTATTAACAGTTTAAGTACAATTGTAATGACAAAATACCTACATCATCATCTAGGCATCAACAATTATATCATCTCCATGTCTAGGACTGTACGTTCTTCTTCTCTCTGGTCTCCCGTCTATCTGTAATACATATTCAAATTATTTTAATATCTATCAGACAACTATTAATAAATAAAAAAAATATATACTTACTTTCCGATGCATATGTTACCTGTCCTGACGTAAATATCCTGGGGCTGGTATCTGAAACAAAAACAAAATAAGTTCAAAAATATTGTTACGAAATATAAAACTTTAAAAATTTGCTACTTTAATTTTTTTTTTTCTTCAAAATATCTATAAAGAAAAACTGGTCATTAATGGCAGCAGCCATCATCATTGCTCAATTGCTCTTTTTGACTATATGTCATTAACTTATTTTCATTTTAAATCTATATTTCAATCAGTAATGAAGACGGTTTAATGATATAATCATTATTTCCGAAATTAATGTGCGTGTCAAATTATCAGAAGTTGGTGGCTAACCAAAACAATCTGATGTATACATTTTGAACAGAAATGATTAAAATTCAACTGAATTTCAAACAATCTAAATCAAGTCATATTTTCCAAATTACTTTAAAAAAATCGACTAAATATGTAGATATCCAAATTTACAATCGGAAACTTTACTTTCGTTCAGGTGAGACTATTAGAGAAAGGGTTTCCAAATTGTCAATGTTAAGAGAATATTTGCTGTTATAAATAATTCAGAAATTAATGTGATGCATGTTTTAATTCAAATCCTAAATTGGAGTACAAATAAAAAAGAAGATGTGGTATGATTGGCAATGAGACAACTCTCCACAAGAGACCAAATGACACAGAAATTAACAACTATAGGTCACCGTACGGCCTTCAACAATGAGCAAAGCCCATACTGCACAGTCAGCTATAAAAGGCCCCGAAATGACAATGTAAAACAATTCAAACGAGAATACTAAGTATACTTTCTTTAAGAGAATATTTGCAGTTATAATTAATTCAGAAATTAATGTGATGCATACTAAGTATACTTTCTTTAAGAGAATATTTGCAGTTATAATTAATTCAGAAATTAATGTGATGCATGTTTTAATTCAAATCCTAAATTGGAGTACAAATAAAAAAGAAGATGTGGTATGATTGCCAATGAGACAACTCTCCACAAGAGACCAAATGACACAGAAATTAACAACTATAGGTCACCGTACGGCCTTCAACAATGAGCAAAGCCCATACTGCACAGTCAGCTATAAAAGGCCCCGAAATGACAATGTAAAACAATTCAAACGAGAATACTAAGTATACTTTTTTATTAAAATATATTTCATTAGAGTATAAATTTGAAAAAGAAATTTTGGACTAATTTGTAATTAATTTTCAAGCTGTTTCTCCAGGGAAAACTGATTTTATTACCTTACAACTATTAACAGTTTAAGTACAATTGTAATGACAAAATACCTACATCATCATCTAGGCATCAACAATTATATCATCTCCATGTCTAGGACTGTACGTTCTTCTTCTCTCTGGTCTCCCGTCTATCTGTAATACATATTCAAATTATTTTAATATCTATCAGATAACTATTAATAAATAAAAAAAATATATACTTACTTTCCGATGCATATGTTACCTGTCCTGACGTAAATATCCTGGGGCTGGTATGTGAAACAAAAACAAAATAAGTTCAAAAATATTGTTACCAAATATAAAACTTAAAAAATTTGCTACTGTAATTTTTTTTTTCTTTCAAAATATCTATAAAGAAAAACTGGCATTAATGGCAGCAGCCATCATCATTGCTCAATTGCACTTTTTGACTATATATCATTAACTTATTTTCATTTTAAATCTATATTTCAATCAGTAATGAAGACGGTTTAATGATATAATCATTATTTCCGAAATTAATGTGCGTGTCATATTATCAGAAGTTGGTGGCTAACCAAAACAATCTGATGTATACATTTTGAACAGAAATGATTAAAATTCAACTGAATTTCAAACAATCTAAATGAAGTCATATTTTTCAAATTACTTTAAAAAAATCGACTAAATATGTAGATATCCAAATTGACAATCGGAAACTTTACTTTCGTTCAGGTGAGACTATTAGAGAAAGGGTTTCCAAATTGTCAATGTTAAGAGAATATTTGCTGTTATAATTAATTCAGAAATTAATGTGATGCATGTTTTAATTCAAATCCTAAATTGGAGTACAAATAAAAAAGAAGATGTGGTATGATTGGCAATGAGACAACTCTCCACAAGAGACCAAATGACACAGAAATTAACAACTATAGGTCACCGTACGGCCTTCAACAATGAGCAAAGCCCATACTGCACAGTCAGCTATAAAAGGCCCCGAAATGACAATGTAAAACAATTCAAACGAGAATACTAAGTATACTTTCTTTAAGAGAATATTTGCAGTTATAATTAATTCAGAAATTAATGTGATGCATACTAAGTATACTTTCTTTAAGAGAATATTTGCAGTTATAATTAATTCAGAAATTAATGTGATGCATGTTTTAATTCAAATCCTAAATTGGAGTACAAATAAAAAAGAAGATGTGGTATGATTGCCAATGAGACAACTCTCCACAAGAGACCAAATGACACAGAAATTAACAACTATAGGTCACCGTACGGCCTTCAACAATGAGCAAAGCCCATACTGCACAGTCAGCTATTAAAGGCCCCGAAATGACAATGTAAAACAATTCAAACGAGAATACTAAGTATACTTTCTTTAAGAGAATATTTGCAGTTATAATTAATTCAGAAATTAATGTGATGCATACTAAGTATACTTTCTTTAAGAGAATATTTGCAGTTATAATTAATTCAGAAATTAATGTGATGCATGTTTTAATTCAAATCCTAAATTGGAGTACAAATAAAAAAGAAGATGTGGTATGATTGCCAATGAGACAACTCTCCACAAGAGACCAAATGACACAGAAATTAACAACTATAGGTCACCGTACGGCCTTCAACAATGAGCAAAGCCCATACTGCACAGTCAGCT